TACTGGTTAAGAAATCACAGAGAATAGAAATGGAATCAGAAGACTAGAGATAAGCAAATGTCCCAATTTCAAAATGAGAAAGGAAACACAAGAATGCTATGCTTGATGTGGACCCTTGGTAAAAACTTAGAAGAAATTATTCAGATGCCATGGGGCTATTTAGAGAAGATAAATAACATCATTAAGAACCAGTAGGGGTTCTCTTAGAAAAAGCCATGGCAAGCTAACCTCATTTCATTCTTTCAGCAGGGTTTCTAGGCTGATAGATTGGAGAGCCCAAAGATGAGGTGCATCTTGGTTTTAGCCTTTCTTGATAACTTTGAAAAAGGATAGATGATGTCATGTGAGTTCACAAATGGCTAGTCAACTTTAAAGATTACTGGATAATAAATTCCTATCAACCTGAAGTGACATGAAGGGGCATGTTATAGAGATCTGGCCTTTGTCCTTTAGAAGTTTCTCGGCAATAGATTATAGCAAATGTGTGGATGACCAAAACAACTTAGGAAGGCAAATAAGTAAACATGATTTTTTTAAAAAGCCATAAAAATTCAGTGATATCAATAGACTAGAATGATGAAACAAAAATCAATTAAATGAAATTGCGTAGAATAAAGTCAGTAGATAGAGGTTAAAAAAAAAAAAATGAAATGCTTAGTTAAAGGCTAACCTTGGCAACATTCAAGTGAGAAAAGAACTGTCTGCATGTTTTGGGGAGTGGGAGTTTTTCCAACAAGTCACATGTTCAATGTGAGTTAACTCTGTGTCAAAGTTGCTGGAAGAAGTTAACCCACTCCTGAGTTATGTTAACAAAATTTTGGTGTTCAGAATAAGAAAGCTAACCAGCCTGCAATTAGCCCTCAGAAAACATTAACCTCGGGTGTCATGTTTTAAATGCGACACTAAGAAAGTAGAATGTGCTTAAGGAAGGGAAACAGGATGGTGAAACTTTAGGTATCACTTAGAGAGCAAAGTGAGGTGTTTTGACCTAAAGGAGAACGTGCTGAGGTGAATGTGTTTACAGATGTTTGAAAGAACATTTCTTAGACTGAGAACAGATTTATTCTCGGAAGGTCTAAGTAGAACAAATAGCAAGAAGTCAGAGGGCTGAATCCATCTTAACGTAGGAAGGAACTGTTGTGTTTGGAAGTGTCCTTCAGTGTCGTGGACTGACTCCTAACATAGTGAGCTAACGCTGGAGATGTCTACACAGAGGCTGGATGATGGTCTGCCAGGTGTGGGGGACATATCTGGGTTGTGAGAAGTTAGATCATGTAGAGCTAAAACCCCCTCCAACATTAAGAATCCCTCTAGGAATCTCTCTCTTCATTTCAGTATCTTATCCACGTCTCTATCTTGGAATAACTCCACCAGACCCTACTCTTCACCATCTCATCCCAGGGACAATTTTAAAGGGTAAAAATGCAAATTAGGATGAATCCCTTTTCAAAGAGAGTCTTAGATTAAATATCCTATAAACTGAGAATATTATTTTAAAAGCCTTCTACACAAGCAGAAAACAAAGCATACTTAACAAGTCAAAACAAAGCCTTCTAATACTACTTGACATAAAGTTTTCTATTTGGGGCAATAAAACGGTGGTAATGAGTAGCAGCAAACTAGTACTATCTCTAATAGCAATTACTGCAGAAATATTTTACATTCATGAATTACACACAATTACTGGCTCTTTGGGGGTGACATTTTTAAAAGTATCCTCTTTAAAAAAAAAATGAGGCCTAGCATTGAAAACAAAGGCAATAAATAGATGCTTAAATTATCCTAGCTCTTTATAAAAAATAAAGATACATCTGTCCCAGAATCCTGCAAGAACTTTGAAAAAACTGTCTCACGAGAGCTAATTAATTCTTATATATCAGTTAAATATAGATGGCAGGTCTTATTTAATACACTGATAATCTGCACCACTGTCAGGGCCCTAACATCTGACTGAGGGGATGGGAGGGAGGTTGGGACAGGTGGTATTTCTTTCACAGGCAGGTTGAGTTACTATATTAGTAGCTGACTTTAATGGTGCAAAAATCTGAACACATGGAGGGGTACATTTCCCAGCAGCATTTTCTAAAACCAACCAAAAATATGACAACATCTCTAATTAAGGCCCTCCTAATTTGAGTGCCTCCTACTTGAACACCAAGTTTGGTAAGAGAAATAAAAAATATAAATAGAATAAGTGCCTTTCCTAGAGGATTACTAACATGAAATATACATGAAACATGCAATGGTGGGAAATTTAGTGCACACTTCCTAGAATGTATCTAACTGTGGGCGCTAATAGAACTGGCCCTGGGAGGGTGCTTTTCAAAGGAAAAGTAAAATAAATAAATGAAACCCGAGAAGGGTGGGGGACTACTCAATGTCTGTATGCTGAGATATTTAAACATCCTTACACTACAGTACAACTAAAGACTTGCTCAATAATCAGTCCTAGGGAAAATGCGTTTTCTGATTTTGGAAGTAGAAAGATGGAAAACCTGTCAAGAAGGACACTGACTTTATAGTGCTCAGAGCTCAACTCACCCACCTGATTAGTCTATAGTCTAAAAGGCTGATTATTAATAATTAAACCGCTAAAAAAAAAGCTTGGGTTGAAATAACTCATCGAATCCTCACAATGCCTCTAAAGGCAGGTACAGTATTTATTCCATGTTGTGGATGAGAAAACTGAGGCTCAGGGAGGGTAAGTAGATTGCCCAACTGCCCCCTCTCCCCTATCCCCGCCATATACACACCCAAGGAAGGGAATGTTAGTTAGGATTCAAACACAGGTAGTGAAATCAACAGCTTATGGTGTAAACTACTGTGCCATGCTTAGCTAAGGTTTAAGGGATCTATCTAATCCTATACTACTCTGTACTTTGGGTTCTTTCTAGGAAAGTAGTCAGTCCATAGCCATATCATATAAGTCACAAACACAAAAGGCTATGGAGTCAGCAGGTAATATAAATGAGTGAAGCGGGCCAGGTCTGAAAAACGTGATAATAAATGGTAACTGGCAGTCCATACTTGAGGAATGACAGTGGGTGATGAGGACTGTGGCAAATTAGAACATGGTAGCCCACTTCTTTACTCTGACCAATTGTTACTTCAGGGAAAGTGCGGGTAGAGTGCTACCAGACTTTTAGGTTTTTCAAAAAAAAAAAAAAAAGAAAAACCCTCTGAAGTCTTATAAGAAAAGCTCTCTAGTTTTATGTGCTTGCTTTAAAATTTTTTTTTGAAACTATGTGAAACACAATCTGTTGGCAAATAAAACAATCTGCTTCACTGAATGGTGACCTCTTTTACGCCATTAAAGGAGGATATAGCCATCACCTGGAATAAAAGGCCTAGCTTTTAAACCTCCAGGGACTTTCTTGGCTCTTCCTAGTGCTATAGCAGCCCTAGACTCACTCAGCAGGTAATGAACAAAATGCCTGTTAAATAACCAGGCACACCTGGTCAAAGAAACAGACATTTGCTCTCCTGAGACAAAGGCAAAAAAATTACAGGTATATGCAGTGATACTCTCTACCTTTTTTTTTTTTTCTGCCTACCAGGGGCTGGTAAAATAAGGCATAATTGTCCAAGCTGGCTTCCTGGATGGAAACTGTTCCTGCTTGTGGCAAATCTACCAGCCAGGCAGGGGGTAAACAGAAACCTGACGGACAGAGTTACTGATTCTTGATTTACAAGGAAGTTTGCATGTTCACTCTGGTCAAAGAATGAACTTGTGGCCAAATTTTCCTTCCTGGATTGCTGTCATTCCCGTGTCAATGAACAGCTCACCCAAACCCAATATAATACGGCTGTCCTTTGTGGCCACTTCAGAATTCTGAAAGGGGGTATACTTTTTAAAAAAAGGAAAACAGTAAAAATAGTAAGCTGAAGACCAAGGCGAAATGGTAAAGAGGGGCAAGAAATTCTGACCTTTTCACACACATCTCCTATCCACTTGTCACCATTTCTGAAAATTCCTTACAGACACTATATATATTAAAGAATTAACAATGAATCCCCACTGTTGAAAGTTTCTTGCTTTTTATACTAGTTAATCTTTATAATGAGGTTTTCTTCCTGGTATAACAATGCACTATAGTTACAGTGGAAAACTAAAATCATGACTTAGTTATCTGTATTAAACACTTTCAGGTATACAGAGCAACACTAATGTAAAAAAAAAAAAAAGTTTGGTAACTAAAAAATGATTAATAGTCCTAAGCAATTTAGAGAAAAAAAATGTCTTTTGTTTCCTGTCAATTTTGCAAGTGGAACGAGATGTGATCTTCCTAAAACTATCACATTATTATCAAGTGGAAACTAAACTGACTAGCCAAAATATAGCGTAACTGGTTTACCACATAGAATTTAAAATGGTGTGGGGATAGGGTCCAATACGGATTTCAAAAGTTCCATTAAAAAGAGGTAAATTTGCTGAAATACTATGCTGTAAATATAGTAATAGGAAGAAGAAGATGGCTCAAAAAAGTGCTCAGAAATTCAAGTGTGTTGGAAGGAAAGAAGGAACAGTATTTTTGATGAAGCATCTGTTTGGTTGTACACAGAGCCTTAACATGCAATATTTACCTTAAATATGCTAGGACTCTTCTTTCTCTAACAACTCGACCCCAAAGTATAATTTTACTCTATTATTCCAATTCTTCCACATAAATGATGGCATCTCAGAGATCCTCGAGAATCCTTCTCCAGTTTAAAGTTTTAAAAAGTTTTGTAATCTAAACTCCTGCTTCCAAATATCTTTAAAACCACATGATAAAACATCACTGAACATAGCAGTAGCGGCCATTCTGAACATGGCACAAGGTCACTGATATCTTCATGAAACATGAAGCAGAAGGAACCGAAAACCCCAGTGTACACCTTAATAAATCTCTGCTCTTGAGGTGGTCTCACTATGGTTCTGGTGAAGATGATCAGGGTGAAGGAGTGAAACACTCACCTGTCTTTGTAGTTTATCACAGTATCAATGATAGCATTCATCTGCTTTGTCAGTTTGGGGGGATTTGGTGATAGCTTCTCAGCAGGAGGGCGGCCTCTTCTTTTCTTGGCTTTTTCCACATCTTCTTTTGCAGGATCTTTATCCACATTTCTTCGCCTTTTTCGCTTCTTAAGCCGTACTTCCTCTTCCATTTCCTCCAAATTGCCGTCTTCAATGGCCTTTAATAGGGAATGGAGGAGAAAAATTCAAGACAAGAGAATAACAAATACACATACAAAATTTGAATAATTAGAATAAAATGAAACTAAAAATAATAAAAATAAAGTTAATAGTAATCAGTGGCGTAAGAAGAAAAAGAGAAGACTACCGTATTGGATAAATGCATCTTTAACTCAAGTCTATTTCATGAGCAAAACATGTTGAAGGCCAGAGACACTACAAATACGAGAAGATCTATACATTTACGTGTTTGAAGATAACTGAATCCAAATGAAATTTTGGCTCAGTATAAGAAAAAGACCTTTAATTGTCTCATTATTTTAAGGGGGGAAAAGATAAAACTAAAAAGAAAAAGGGGATGAGTGAAGAAAAAAATTCCCTAAGAATACATCCTTACAATCATATAAGCATTTACCATTTCTTCTTTAAGATTTTACATCAATTTATTCATGATCCACAACATAAATTGCACCCAGATTTTGTTCTAACGTCAGAATTAGTAAACAAGGAAACGGAGAAGTACAAAGCCACATTCCTTTGTAAAGGCACTTAAATCATCCGATAAAGAACACACACTCACAAACAACAAACACTTTTTTCCAATTACCTGCAAACGTTTGCTTTAAACCAGAGCCAGCAGCACTAATGCAGAGAGATAATAAAATAGCTATAAAAACAACCAGGTATAAAAGAAACCTGTTCATATGGCTAAAAGATCCATGTGACAGACCCAGAAGTTTAAACTTTTTTTTTTTTTCCTGGCAAACCTTAAAACTTAAAAAAGGGGGGGGGAAAAAAAAAAAAAAAACAAACCCCTGCAAAGAAAACAAAACCACAACAGATAAAAGAAAATTTGACCATGGAAAGAAAAATATTTTTTAAAACCTTTAAATTATATTTCAAGATTGTTTTCTCACACAAAATAACTGATGTTGTTATTTGCTCCCCCTGCCTCTCAATATTGCCTCCAGTATGCAAATTCTAATCAATCCTTTCTCGTAGCTGAAAGAGCTCTAATCATAAGGCAATTACCTTCATTTCTCCACAGCACCAAACATGGCTAATATTTATGATCATGTGAGTATAACAATCAATATAAAGAGTGATTACAGCTCAGACATAATTTCTTTCACTTGTGTACAATGCCTCCTGAAAAAGAAAGGTTTTGTGAAGAAAACCTGGTACAGAACACAAAACAACCTGGCATGTTAAAAATGCCAGTGGGAATAAAAAAAAATGTTTTCTATGCATCTTCCAATGTGCAAACCCATAGAAGCAACATGCACACAGATAGAATCCTAAGGGACAGTCTGAGCCTAGGCCTTAATAATCAAAAGACAATTTCTATCACGATCCTACAATGTTCAGATAACCACTATGAAGGAGGCGAGATCTGATGAGTTATGAGGAAAAAGGAAAAAAAAAAGCTCCACATTATTTCATTAATATGCATTTGCCTAAAAGCAGGACACCCAATATACAGCTAAACACACTGCAGCTAAGCGAAGATTAAGAAAAGGAAATTGTCCCGCAAATCTTGGAGGCTGAACATGCTAATAATAAATACAGCATGCAAGGCTGTCAACAGTTAATGGTATTGCCCTCCTCAAGCACCCAGTTGCACACAGAAATACGGAGAACACCGGCTTTTGATGTGTTACACACCTACACATGCCTGGGATGTAGTTCTACTGAATCTTCAAGACGGCAACGAAAAAGGATATTTACCTTACCACTATCAGCAGGCCGGCTATCGGAAATCACAGTTAGTGGGGATAAAATTAACAAGCCAGCAAAGCAGCGAGCTGCTAGTCTCTTCATCAGCTGATCAGGAAAAAAAAGAGAGCTGGGGAAAGGCTATGTTTTCATATACAAGTAATTTTATTTTACTGAAAATTTAATACTGAAAGGATTGTGGATACTCAAATCTGCTGTTTCATTCTACCTACTACAAGGCCCGAAGCCTTCCTCCTTCAGCCTGTTTTAATATTGACAACTACTTATCATATTTTTTTTCCCCTCTTATTATTCCAGGCAGCAGAATTAGAGATTTTAGCTCAGGCAGTTTCTCATTCTTACTCGCATTTTAACAATTAAGCCAATGGAAAAAAAAAAAAACATATTAATATTCAAATTTATTTAAAAAAATTAAAACAAGGTATGCTTTTTTATGGTATTTTAAACCTCATTTTAGTGCTTTTAAAAAGATAGGCTGCATGGTTTTGGAGCAGTCTAAGATTTTTTTTTTAATAAAAATTTTTTTCATTAAATGCATGTCAGTAAAAGCAATGTGCATGTTCTCCAGTTCAAATATTTTAATAAAATGTTATTCTGCTCTTTAAAGAAAATCCCGAACAACTGTGACACTTCACTTTCAGTTTCATGCTGTAAAATTTTTCATTGCTTTTCTTTTCAGTGGGATAAATGAAGAGGGGGAAGTTGTGAAAAGAATATTTCTACTCTCATCCCCTCTTAACTTTTCAAAAAAAAGGAACAAAGCATAAGCTTGTGATAGCTTGACTTTTAAATCTCTAAATCTAAGTAGCTAAGAAGCAAAAACAAATTAAACTGCAAAACTAGTAAAACAATTTTTATTACAATTGCTAATACGTGCAGATTCTTACTAAATTTAGGTTTTAGAATCACACGGAAACACACAAAGTACTGACCATTATTCCCATTAAAAGCTACAAAACATCCTCCCTCCTCCCCAAAGACCCCAAACACATCCATATGCAGTGCTTGATGTTCAGGGATTTCTAAGGGTCTTTTGCTAATGGAAATCAGTTCACTAAATATTTCCCAGTGCTTTTCGCACTTAAAGAGTAGAGTAAGATTACTCCTGCATGTAAGTAAAATTATTCATGGACATTTAAAACTGTTCTTTGATTTAAAAAAATTACTTATTAAACTGGCTCGACTGACTCAACTCAGTGCTGGGGTGGGGGGTGGGGGTGGCACACACACAAAAAAACTTGCTACACAATGCTAAAGTACTACCCCCAAAAGAATTCCCTTCCAAACCTTTTACCAGCACAATAATGAAATAAATCACAGAAGCAAACCCCCAGTTTCCGACTGGTGACGTGTTGCGCAAGAGTGCGAGCCCTAATTCAACATACAGACGGCTCCCATGCTGAACTGCCTCTAGATTTAATGAAGTGAATAGGAAGGAAGTCGGGGAAAAAAAGTGTACAAATAAGAAATTAACACTTTCCTTCCCTACGCAAACGGTGAGATACAACTAGAGTGAAGTTTGGTGAGGCGCTTCTTTCCTTAAAGGCACACTGCACCCATTTGGCTCCGGATGTCACTAAAAAAAAAACCCTGCTGGGGATAAAAATCCCCAGCCGAGTTAAAATAGTTAAGCATATTTCAGCCTGCGTTTTTCCTGAATGGAGCTGGGATTTACTCCTTCCTCCACTGGATGGCAACCTTTTTTCCCTCCCTTCTTTTTCTTTCATTTTTTTTTAAAGACCACATTTTCATGATACAGGATGTGCAAGAACGAGATACAGATGGACTCCTTCAGTTCTTAAGAAAGCAGCTTGTAAGATCTGATAAAATGCAGGAGAGGTTGTGCAGGATTAGCTGTTTTGGATGAACCACTTTGCAGCTTGCCAAGCACATGGCAGACCCGGGAATCGGCCACACGTGGGTCCAGCCGTGCCCCTGTCATCCTGACACACACACTACGTCTTTTAGTGAAAGACGGACAGTCCGCAGAAAGTGGACATTGTCTTTGTACCTCTTAACCCGCGGTGTAATGAGGTGCTGTTATAAATGACTTTACAACACACGCAGCAGAACCGATCCATGACTATGAATAGGTAAACGGGGACAAGCAAACAAAAGCTACAAGCCAATTCTGGCGCATTGTTTCACTGTGGTTGCTGTTTCCACCTCAGCATCTTCCAAGTCTACCAAGCGGTGTGGCACAGCCCTTACCGTGGAACAGACCATCTTAGGGGAAACTGAAAGGAGCAATTCGAAAGACATCTAGACAATGCACGGAAAATTCCTTGGCTATGAAATGGGAAATTTAGAATTGTAATACCGAACTCTGATATTTAAACGTCACGTTTCTGTTCACTGACATGTTCTCTTTCTCAAGGCAGGAGGTGGGCGGTGGTGGTGGTGGGGGCGTCCCCTTCCCTCAGGAGCTCTAATTGGATTCTGGAAGATGACCTTAGGATGATGCTGGGGGCAGAGGTGGGGTTACAGAGTTGAGGGTTAAGCATTAAAGAACTGGGTCATGTCAATACCAGCATGTGGACCATTCACACATCACTAAACTTGATTCCAAAATTCAGGGTGCCTAAACCTCTCTCAAGCCCTGTTGAGACCCTGGAAGCCAATAACACAAGTAATGATCCCCAAAACAACCAAAGCAGTGGCAACAACAAAAAAGTGCAATTTTAAAGAAAATTTGAGATTTCTTTTATGAGAAACTTTCTTACAATATGAATATTTAACAAAAGCAAAAAAAAAAAAAAAAATTGAACACGGAGTTCTTGCTCAAAATGACACGTTTTAGGCACTTGGTTTAATAGACTGCAGCCCTTTTAGATACAGAATTTCAGACTCAGGGCTTCAAACAATTATAAGTTTTAATTATTACCATCCCCCAAAGCAACCTGTTAGAAAAGTATGCATAAAATCAAATTTCCTAAAGTGAAATAAGCCGGACACAAAAGGGCAAACAGTATACGATTCCACTTATATGAGAAAGAATAGTGGTTACCAGGGCCTGAGTGGAGGGGTTGACAGGGCTTTATTGATTAATGAGTACAGAATTTCAGTTTGGGACGATGAAAAACTTCTGTTGCGGACAGTGGTGATGACGGCACAACAATGTGCTGAAATGAACACTTAGAATGGTTAAAATATTACATTTCTGTGTATTTTATCACAACAATAAAAAAGTCTCTTAAAAAACAAATTATATATTAAGGAAAAAACCCAACAACTGCAGGTTCATACATGTTCCTACTGCCTC